CCCAGGACATCTACAAGATGGATTAAAATGCTGATGCTATAAAAAAGGGGAGGCATAAACACATTTGACTGAAATATTTAGGTGTGTAAAAATAAATAAATAAAATATGTTTATTCTGTGGCACTTAAAAAAATTATTTGGCACCTGTTTTTTTGTCTGGAGCCATGTTTTTTTTTTTTTTTGCAAGTTTCAATTTGGAAGACAGACTGATCAACTGTGGTCGTATGGATTACCGTCATGTTATCTTTTTTACATGACAGCTTAGGGGGCCCTATTATATGGACTTAATATTATTTTTCTTTATTATTCATCCTCAAATATCATAAGAGTCTTTCAGAATTTGACAATGGTAGCTAATGCCACTTTTTTTGGATTTTCAACTGTAATAGCTATAAGTGCTATTTTGGTTGTCACCATTGTACCTTTTTCTAAGCGCATTTTTGAACAAATGCTTCCCCCTCTAAGCACATTTTTTAGCCACGACTGAATATTTTTTTGTATTTTCAGGGGCTTTAGTAGTCTGTAATCATATTTCACAGAAGGACAGTGATTTCAGAAGTTATATCAATGAAGGTCAGAACAGGCAGTGCTGGTGTGGCACAAATTGAGTCATTAAAATCCATGTCATATAAAAGAGCATCGTGATGACAAAAGTGCGTGTGAGTCATGTTAGACGCCATACTTGTGCCACCTGTCCCATTATTAACAGGAACAACAGCCCCAGCACAGAAGCACATTATTGTTTTAACATTAAAGCGTTTTCAGTGCCATCTGGAGCACCACCCACATAATTTAACAAGCCCTATGATAAATCATAGGATGAAGTTATTTGCCTCTAATAACAAGTTACAGTATTTGGAGTTTTCCTAACACCCGTCATTTCACTAATGAAGCTACATTGAATGAAACCACCCCACTTCTTGACAGGCTCCTGGAAGCTTTTTCAATTGCACAATTTTTTAGAACCTGATTTTATTAATATCATATTAATAAACTGACATGTAACATGCTCAATCTTACTGAGACAATAGTAGCCAGCCATGAAGAGAATCGTTTTCAGACTGGGAACAATGCCACCAATCAGAGATGGATTTTCTTCCATCAGCCTCCTGGGGCTTTACATCTGCTTCTAAGACCAGAGCCACCAAATAACCTGCATGATGGTCTTATGCTTTGCCTGCTTGTAATATAACTCTGGGTTCTTCCAACCCCAGATGAATGAGCTCTCTTATCTTGCTCCAGCTCTTTAAGATTCCTTATCAGGAAAGACTTCATCTAGCTACTCGATGCCTACACATCTGAGCACGACTGATGCATTCGTCTCAATTTGGGTCAGAGCATGAGATCAGATCCCTTACAAGCACACAGTCTCTCCTCCTATTCTCCTACAATAGCACAAGAGAAACAGATCTGGTCTGACCCCCAGCATCCCCATCAAATCGCCATCCCTCCATCTATCCATCCATCCTGGCTTTGTAGGGAGGAAGACTTCCCGTGGGGATGGTCCCAAAACAAAAAGACAAATCTGAGACCTATTAATAAAACAGGACACTCACATTTCCATCATACTCACGCTAATCTCAGGCAGCTGTTATCTCTAAGCAGGAAGTGCTTTCTGGGCCCACTGCCGTGCTGACAGGGGCGCGTACCCAGTAAACGGGCTGAAAGTGATAAGATAGTTAGTGTTTGAGGGGTGATCTGTCCACTGCAGAATGTTACAGAACCCTGAGAGTCCAGGTCTGGGGAATAGTCATTGCTCATGGCAGCCCTTAAGATTCCTTATCAGGAAAGACTTCGTCTAGCTACTCGATGCCTACACATCTGAGCACGACTGATGCATTCGTCTCAATTTGGGTCAGAGCATGAGATCAGATCCCTTACAAGCACACAGTCTCTCCTCCTATTCTCCTACAATAGCACAAGAGAAACTGAGATCTGGTCTGACCCCCAGCATCCCCATCAAATCGCCATTCCTCCATCTATCCATCCATCCTGGCTTTGTAGGGAGGAAGACTTCCCGTGGGGATGGTCCCAAAACAAAAAGACAAATCTGAGACCTATTAATAAAACAGGACACTCACATTTCCATCATACTCACGCTAATCTCAGGCAGCTGTTATCTCTAAGCAGGAAGTGCTTTCTGGGCCCACTGCCGTGCTGACAGGGGCGCGTACCCAGTAAACGGGCTGAAAGTGATAAGATAGTTAGTGTTTGAGGGGTGATCTGTCCACTGCAGAATGTTACAGAACCCTGAGAGTCCAGGTCTGGGGAATAGTCATTGCTCATGGCAGCCCACATTGGGAATGGAGTACACTGAGTCCTACTAACCCAGGACAAGACAGCAATGCATGATGGGGACCTCTCTGTACAGATCAACGCTTCTCAGCACAGGTGGCTTCAGTGTGTCGGACTACATACGCAAATTCACGGTAAGATCCTGCTTTCATGCAAACAGGATGAGAAAATTCAGTACTTAGAGATTATATTTTTATATTTTTCTTATTATAACATTATAAATATGCATGTCTTATAATATCATGACTGGCTTAAAACTTATTTTTATATGTGCTTTTAGGTCATTGTCAATTATGCAATAAACTACTATTTTTAGGAGCTAAATAAATCTTTTAAAGATCCCCTTATCTATGTGAATATTAATTTAGGACTCTCTCATGAAAAACATTTTTGTTTGCATATGTAAGCTCCTTTTAATTCAAGGGGTTTGTAATTCTGAGGAATTACACATTTTAACTAACTAACAAACATATTCTGGGTTACCTTTACCTCTCACGTGGAGAATATGTGATTACTTTAATTACTTTATCTGTGTACTTTGATCATTTATAAGCTTCTTTCTTGAGCTGTTGTTTCAGTTGCATGGTCTTTGTCATTTTCTCTCTTCTATTTGGTAGCAAATCATCTCAGCATTGTCTCGCAAATTGTTGCACGTTTTTGACACTGGTGCACCTTTGGCCTTGTGACAAATTGCACATTGTCTGTAATATTTTAAAGATGTTGTACATTAGACAGCACAATCCTGTCTCCTTTCTCAGAACAAAGACGAAACATCAAAAGGAAATTACCTTGTGTGGGTGAGTGAAGAAGAAAAACAATTTATTTTAAGTAAGCATATTTAGTTTGGTCTATTAAAAGGATGACATTTGATTGAATTTGAATTTGTCTCAACAATTTCTAGCACTCAGAATGAATTTTTACCGAATGGTCTGAACGATAATGGGATTTACATCAAATTTACACACCATCACCCTGAGCGCTTTTGTCAGAGGGAGAAGTGGGATACAGACTCTTCTGCTCTCCCTCTTCCGCTGTCCCTGCCATGTCAAACATTTATGTGAGGGCACAGAAGGGATTGTAAAATGAGACTACTGTGCAAACATTCCTTTCAGAGAGGGCAAGGCTAAACACCACTATGGACAAAAGCATACATCCATTAGCATGACCGAGCCCTTTCAATGCCATATCATCTCTATCAGGCTAACGATGCACCACAAGTACAGCAGTTTAACAGCAGAGTTGCATTTCCCCTCTTAATGCACACTGTGTACTCAACATGTTTGTGTGACATTTTAAATGAATATCAGAGATCAAAGAGGTTTTAATATATTAAGCATTGTTAAAGTTATGCTTATCTCTGCCAAACAGATATTCTTTCCCAGTGATGTTAGCTATCTTACTGGCCGAAGTCCTGCTGTGGAATGGAAACTGAGTTGCTTATGTTGTGCCAGCTTGTAATAACGGATCCCCACCACCACTAAATAGTCAGCATGGGGCTACATTCCTGTGGCTGTCCCGACCCTGGCCTCTATCTCTATTGCATAATAAGGTTATACTATATTGTGAGTATTGCGTTTTGGCATCCGAACACAGCAGAAAGCTCTTATAGAAGGATACAGACAAAAAGTCCTTGGCTTGCACATGGGGCATTGACATTATGGACAGAACGTCCAGAGAGTTCAAGGTTCCCCTCCAGGCCTCTGTTGAAGCCCTTTTAATAGAGGTGTCTTCTACATTTGGTAGACGCTTTTATCCCAAGCAACTCACATTGTATTCAAAATATACATTCTATCACTTGTTACAATGGGAATCAAACCCATGACCTTGTTGAGCCATGAGCCATGATCTGAGCTACAAAAAAATCTTAATAGGAAAAAAAAGGGAGGAACTTTACAATAACATTCAGTTTTTCTAGTCTAGGTTCATTTATAAATTAGTTCATATAACTTATGAATCTGCTATAGCTGATTGTAATTCATGTCTATTCATAATTCATTAGCTAATGTTAATTTACACAACCTGTAATGTTGGAAATGAATATGATGATGTTGGTTTATGAAATCTAATGCAATAAATGTTAACTTGTAAAGTGTAAAAATTAATTAGTGATAGACATGGGTAGATATTTTATATTTTGTGAATGAATGTACATGAATATGAGGAAATTTGCTTCTTTAAATGATTTCATTTTTGGTCACGATGATGTTTGATACGATTTTTAATTTGTTGTAATGATTCAGCTAATGGGAAGACCCAGGATTAACAATGGCTGGATGAGTTGAGAGAGAGACAGTTGTAGCATATCATTCCTCATACCAGTGTCCACAGAGGTTTATTTTTACTTAAAATGTCAGCCAATGTCACGTCACGTTCCAGTGAGGGTGTTATAGGTGATATGTAGTTAGCGGGCTGGATCCAGTGGTTGAGTCTCAAAGAAAAATGGATGCAACTGTGTAACAGTGAATTTAAAAAGAAAACGGGACAAGAACATGAAAGAGTGAGATTATATCTTTCTTTCCTCTACCTAATGACCGACGATTTACAAAGGTCATTCTTTGCATGCCCACTTGTCAGCAGCATCTGCTGAGGAGAGTTTAAATGTTTTGGTGACGTCAAGAGACCACTGGAACTTTGGCAATCATCAGGGCCTGCTAGGTCATTTAAAAGGCCTGAGCACGTAGGAGAGAGAGAGAGAGAGAGAAGAGGGGGAGGAAAATAGAAGTGGAGAGATAAGATACCCATTGGAGGTGTTTATTTAAGTGGTGTCATGTCTCTGGCACATACCAACAACAGGGTTTGTCTGAGCTTTCTGTTTTGTGAGAGGCACACAATACCTCAGACAAGCATAGAGACCGTGGGGGAACAGAAATAGGGTGCAGAGGGATCAGTGGGGCTTCCTCTTTTTCTACATTTTCTCAGTGTGTGTGACAGGGGCCAGCCATGAGTAAACAGTCAACTCTGGCCACCTGTATTGCCAAGATGTATGATGGTGGCAGGCTGGAGAACTCTGGAACTCCATCTGGGACAGTCAAGAAGCCAAGTCCAACTCTGATAGGTAGCCTGAGCAATGTGGAGGTCAAGTTAAACACCCTGGAGGGGAAGATGGAACAGATCGACCATTCCCAGACGGAGGTGCTTCACAAGCTGAGTTCATTGTGTCAAGGAATGGAGGCGCTAGAAAGGAGCCTTAAGCAGCAGAGTGGTCAAGAATCAAACGTGATTAAAAATGGCCAGCGAGAGAGCAACAAACTCCCCTTGCTGACTGAGGTCAGATCGCTTTGTGGCGAAACTGTGGATCTGCTTCATAATCTCAAGCACGAGAGCCAGGAGCAGAGAAAGAAGATTGAATGTATGGAAAGTTCTTTGTCCACTCTGGAGAAAGTATTAGGGTATGTGGGTGATGCTTTCCGTAACTCAAAAATAGTGGAGTTCATTCTCAATGGTGTGGTGCCTTGGAGGAAACAAGGCCTTCTGTACACTGTGGAGGAAGAGGTCAGTAAGATCCTGGTCATCCGAGATCTCTGTTCCAAACAGATAATCAGAAAAACACAGTTTATGTGATATTCAGCGTAACAGAGTAAAATAATGTAGAATGAGGTGAAATCTAGATGTTTATTTCCAAGCTGTTTACCACAGCTAGAGCTGTCCCTAAAAATAAGGTCAAATTCAAAACAGCCTGCAAGGTGAATAATACCTAATGTGCAAGATATTGATTGTTTCTTTTAAAAGTAGCTCACTAAGAACTGAACATACTGTTTAGAACTTTTGTTTTGTTTTGTTAATCACTTTGGTTTATCTTTAGGTTATTGCATTAGATCCTTACAATATCTATGTATATTATGCATGTTATCATTTTATTTAATTGCAAAACAGCATTTCAGTGTGGTAGTTGTCAGGTGGTCTTTACAGTTTATAAGATGTAAAAGTAATAACATAGTAATAACTATATCACATAATAATAACTAATTCATAACAACATTCAATGCTATATTCAGCTGTCAAGGTCGTTTGTGTATATAGGTATCTTCTGTTTTCCCCACTATTTATTTATTTATTTTTTGTTAGCTGATCTATTCTTGCTATAGTGAGCTTGTTACGTTTATGACCAATCTAACCTTTTACCAAGGTTGCTATTTTATCTATGATGAGGCTGAACATGCCTCGTGTTTCAAATTCCTAGAGTGGATATGTGACTGAGCTGTTGGTGACTGAGTATATGTTCACCCAGCTTTGCAATTAGCAAAGCCATAAACCCATACCTTTAAAGCACATATTTTATATTCAGTGTATAGAAATGTGAATTTTCCTCTTGAAATGCACTCAGAACCGCTTGTTAGAGGACATATTCCATTTATTTTTATCCAGAGTGGTTTTACATTGATAGATGCTATATTGTTAATTGAAGACTGGATCGCTTTATAATTATGAAGTCAAATTGCTTTTGGATCCAAGTAAAATTGTGCAATAGTTGACTTACGCTAGAAAATGGAGCCTTTCACACTGTGTGTAATAAGCAGATCTGTTGTCAAACAGTGTAATTATACCAAGCATTTCATGCATCAAATGCCAAAAACCAAAAATGGAATGTTTTGTCACAAATCCCCTCTGAGCCGTATGATGAACATGAAGCTATACGTGAAGTACCATTCTGTAAACAGGTTGACTATTATAATAATGCTTCACCATAATCAGCATAAACATCGTGTATTGTTATAATTCACACACCCACCTCATGTATACAAGATCTCAAGATGTAATTACTCATAGAAGTATCTAAGTACAACATACATGAAATTAAATCCATAAAAGTTTAGAGAATTTTTGAAATTGTGAATTCTGTTATTTCAACTGTATGCTATTATTAGCTCCAAAATGTACATGTCTGTTTCAGCAATTAGAAGAAAGCTGGCAAAGTGAAATAAATGTTTTACTCATTCTATACTGCATAAAAACCAACACAAGTGTAATATATCTGAATTCGGATCCACAGAAAAACAAACCAGATGACAACAGCATTAGACCAAACAACAGTTTCTGCCACCAGAGCACACAGACGGAGGAGATTAAAGAAGTACTTTCAGGTATGAATAAAATATATCTTAAGCAAATTATGGACTAGAAATGTTTTTATTAAAGAGTCAGCTTGATAAAGTTGATGTGCCAGAGCTTTTTCCGGCATGAATTTCAATGTACGGTTTTGCAAAACACAGCTGAGACTGAACTCCAGGAGACAGAGGTCACTGTTCCCACTGTTCCCAGCAGCCTGTATTCTCCTGAAGCCCTTACAGGAGAAAGTGAACCCCTGATACCTGTTAGTACAGGAGAAAGCTCCAAAGCCTTTAAAAAAGCCAAAGAGGTGACAGTGAAAAGCAGAGCACCTTCGCAGTTCCAGACATTTGCTCCTGATGTCCAGCTGGAGGCCGAGGAGAATGAAGTGCACTATGTACCCAAACAAGAGACAGACGCTGCGCCAGCTAATGCTGAATGTGTCACTGTGACAACAACTAACGTGGAAAAAGATTTAGCTCTTCAGCAAGAGAGGTGAGATATTCCTACAAATTGCTGCCATTTAAGGTTCAAAGCAAAATGCTGTAAAATTAGCTAATTTTCCTCCCATCTTGAATTTTAAAAGGGATGTTGCCAATGACATGTTGGTTTTTCCAAGACTGCAGCAAAAAGTGTCAAAAATTACTATGGGCTGAAAAGCTAACAAGTTATAACGGAAGACCGAACATTGTCACTGGCCACCTTTGGAGATAATTATATGGCAGTGAGGAGCATAATTGCTGTAATGGACTTTTTTTTACACTTTTCTCCAACAGATAAGAACTATATAGAAGATTAGAGACCTCACATTTACAAAGGATTGTAATTAACCCGGCTGAAGTGGCCAGAACAATCATTACAGAAGCTGAAATATAAAACAAAACTTATGAAAAATATAACATCTGCTCGTTTTCAGTGAATAATGCTCATAATAACATCTCTGAACAGTCCAGAAAATAAATATCACAGTCATCAAGAACAGCAATGCACCATTCCTAAGGCACAACCATACAGCCATGTTTTTCTCATCTGTCGTAAGAGTTTTAAAGGCAGAGTGCTGATAATGCAATTGCAAGAGCTCCGTATTTTTTATGTGCTAGCTGTGTTTTGCAACTGAGACACAAAAGACCATCTGCCTCAAATAATAGGCTGTGTTGTGCTTGCTGGAAAGCATAATTCATTAGACTAATGGCCAAGGTCTTGAGATTACACTATGCGGCATTGCAACTAGTAACTGAATGCATGTTGCTAGGCATTATGTGTTTTAGGCCATTTAGCTTCATTCAAAACATTCCAATTAAGGACCTTGTGCTGTTTTGGGTTTGCCATTGTTCACAGTAGCCTCTCATGTGCAGCCACATAATATATCATAGACAACAAACCCAGTATAAAGCTACTTGAATGTCTAATATGCTGATTCTTGATTCCCATTATATACATATTTTTGAATTGATTACATATACCATGTTCTCACATACAACGTTACCTTTGAAAAGTGAATGAAGGGCACATCAAATGGTTGTTCTTTTGATTATTCCCAGGTCTCTTGAACAGGCAGATGCTTCACAGGTTGGTGAGAAGGCTTCACTCAAGGCAATAGTTCCTGAACAACAAGTGGAGCCGAAGGATGAGGATCCTCAAAACCAGGCAGAGGTTTCACAGGCTGGTGATAATGCCTCATTGAAACCATTCTTTCCTGGACAGCAACTGGATAAGAATCTGGATGTTCCTCACAAACCTATGCTCTGCACCAAAGAGCCTTTCAATAAGGATGTAGAGGTTGAGTCACAACATAAAAAGACAGTGGAAAGGGTAACACCTGTACCAAAGCATGATGAGAGAAAGACAGAAACTGAACCAGCTAACAAGAAAAACGAAAATAAAACAATTGAGAAGATTTCGGAGTCTGACCCAATGAAGAACTGTGCAGCTCCTAGTTCTCAAAACACAGCCGTTGTTGAGGAAGTAAAAGCAAAATCATCACCTCTGAGAAAAGCTGAGTCACAGCTACTGATCATTGGTGAGTTAACCTTGTGTTACTGCCAGCTGACAAAATTCATTTCATTTCAACCCTCACTAACAGGGAATGGGGATCATGAAACAAATGTATGAATCCAAATCATTAACTGTTCCAATAAAGATTATTTTAGTACTTTTAAGAAATATAAATAGGGAGAAAAAGAAAAGCAATTCTATTGTCAAATAATAATTGAATAATAAATACATTTTATGAGGTGGCATAAATGCAATCTAATAACTAGCCTTTATTAACATAATGAAAGTGTATCTTTAGTTAAACGTTATCATATGAACAACCAGTAATTGGCAGTAAGTAACTATGCTGTTAGAGCCATAACTAAGAGTCAATTGTTTGGGAGTTGGAATACACTTGTATGTTTTTGATTCACTAAACAGAATCAACTCATAAGAGCACAACATTTACATGCACTTTAAAAGTTTGATTTCAGTCAGATTAAAGCAGTTCGACTTTTTAATTAAATTAGACATTTTAAAATGTCTTAAAAGTCCAAATGAAATTGCATTTGTAATGTATGTTTTTGATTCACTAAAAAGAATCATCTTTGACATGTGACAAAAAAAGATCAGTTAGGCCTGCTTGGAAAGTGATGTATATTTGTAAATCAACTAAAAATCCAATTCATCACTTGTAATTATAACTAAAGAGCTTACAGTTTTTCGAACGTCTTTCTCAAAACTTGAAACTGCGCTCCAGATATCAGCATTCATCATGTCACCATGCCTGTATTTGGTGGGTCTGGGAAGTCTCTTAGCCTGCTGGTATTTTTTTCTAGATGACAGTCCACCTCTTCCAGCCCCGTTTGAGCATCGCATCGTCAGTGCCAAGCAGGTTCCCATGCATTCATATTACGCCGTCAAACCCAATGAGGTGCTGGGCGGGTGAGTCCATGTTTTACACACATTGTTCACCCAAAACTAAAAAATTTTGTCATCATGTAATCACTTGTTGTTTCAAACCTGTATGACTTTATTTCTTCTGTGGAACATAAATTGAAGAGAATGCTGGGAACAAAATCGTTTTGGTTACCACTGACTTCCATTTAGTGGTCGACCGATATATCGGCCGATATTTGGCATTTTTCATTTTGACGGCGCTGAGAACGGCTGCGGCTGCGGCTGCGCCTGAACACACAGTGCTCACATTCTCCCTCTTGTTTGCCATGGTCCTTAACGGTTCTGTCTAATACGGATATAAGTCTGTCTAATAATCAGATAGAACGGTTAAACAAAGGAATTAAAATGTATGCAAAGTATTATATTATTAGTAATAGAAAGGCAAATATTATAGTACTTTCTCATTTGCCGTCAGCATTCAGCAAATATTGTCATCATGTAATCACTTGTTGTTTCAAACCTGTATGACTTTATTTCTTCTGTGGAACATAAAAGAAGATTGAAGAGAATGCTGGGAACAAAATCGTTTTGGTTACCATTGACTTCCATTTAGTGGTCGACCGATATATCGGCCGATATTTGGCATTTTTCATTTTGACGGCGCTGAGAACGGCTGCGGCTGCGGCTGCGCCTGAACACACAGTGCTCACATTCTCCCTCTTGTTTGCCATGGTCCTTAACGGTTCTGTCTAATACGGATATAAGTCTGTCTAATAATCAGATAGAACGGTTAAACAAAGGAATTAAAATGTATGCAAAGTATTATATTATTAGTAATAGAAAGGCAAATATTATAGTACTTTCTCATTTGCCGTCAGCATTCAGCAAATATGCATTTATATAATTTAAACAAATCTTTGAATGAATTATGAAGATTTAATTTGACAAACCTTGCAAACTTAGTCGAATCCAGCTGTGAGATCGTGTGAAGTGTGCATTTGTATCCTGCATGATCGCGTGGTCGATCTGTGCGAGTTGAATGCTGACACGAGGAGAGTTCAGCTTCACTGAAGACGCGCGATTGTAAACTCATGATTTAAAATTATGCTGCGCTTTATGCGTTTGCCCACTGTCACAGTCATGTAATTTTCACTTGTGTGCTGTTTGTAAAATGAGTGTTACCTTGGCTTTATTTGAAAAAAAAAGAAAAAAGATTCCCAATGCTCACAAACTTCCCAGAATACTGAGTGCCCTGTTGGTTACAGTGTTTACTTCCTTTTTAATTATATTTTTATTAAATATTTATTTATTTGTAAAAAGTACTTTGTCATCTAAAGTATAAGTATGTTTATTTATTTTTTTTAATCCATTTTCAAATGATTTCAAATTTCTTGAATATCAATTAAAATAAATACAATTATATCGGCTTTATATCGGCCATCGGCCACCCCGCTTTCCAAGATATCGGCATCGGCTGTCAAAAAACACATATCGGTCGACCACATTAACACACTTTACCAAAATATCTTCTTTTACATTCTACAGAAGAAAGAAAGTCATACAGGACAACATGATCATGAGTAAATAACAACTTTAATTTTTGGATGAATTATCACTTTAAACCTATTTAATGCTTTATTTAAATGGTATGTAGTCAGTTAATCAAAGGACCAGATGAGGATGTCATAACCTCACAATCACAATTTAATTAATTTTTTAGGTGTTTGTACATGAAAGAATATTATTCAGATTTTTCATGTTTCCAGTAAAAAAAAAGCATGAATTAAGCTTGTTTAAGCATGAATTTAGAAAAAAGAGTGATGTTTATGCTAAAACAGGCAAAAACATCAAACGTCAACATTTAAAAACATAATTCATAATATGTGCACTGAAAATAAGCTTTAGGTTATATAAAGAATTTAGTTTTAAGAACATTTAAAACATTTTTAGTTTCTAACATTTTGCTCTTGGCACTCTCTGATATTGTATTTGCAGTTACATCTGACATGCTGACAACAGTGCAGCAGATAGGAGTATTAAGTGGAGGGAGGGTTACTCTCTATCCAGGACTGGCATATAAGCATGCAGGCAATGCCCATGGAACATTTAGCACTAGTTGAATGACTGGTACATACAGGCACTGGCTCATTTGCACCCCCTCTTCACCTCTCGCTCCACATACAGTATGCCACAAATAAACAACGCTTGTTTTTTGACTCATCATAGGCAGAGTTTATTTTGGGCAGGTGTTGAGCAGGTCTGTTTGCATGGAACTTTTTTTCAGCCAGCAGCAGCCGCCATCTTGACACATGTTATCTCACCCCATGGAGACACAGCAAGTAAATACACAATGAGAGGAAAAACAGCAAATAGTGACAGATAACTTTCACAAAGGTTGAAATGATTTCCATAATCCATGAAATGAAATCTGTGCGTATGTGTGTTGTTGCAGAGGCCGCTTTGGACAGGTCCACAAGTGTGCTGAGCTGTCGTCAGGTCTTACGTTAGCTGCTAAGATTATAAAAGTCCGGGGAATGAAAGAGAGGGTGAGTACAAAATATGCATAAACCATTAGCGTTTCAAAAATGTTTACCCCCATTTCTCTCTTTCTTTCTCTCCTGTCCCACTCCAATCTGTCCATCACTCTGTTCCTGTTAGGTTGCTTTATGAGAACATTTCCTTGACAACCACTGATAGTTCTGTGCATATGAGCATATGAAAAAATATGCACACATTCACACATGCACTTGCACTCTCGCAAATAACATAATAACACCCATAGTCCCTCCTCAAGGATATGAAAGCGCATGTTGTTTCTAATATCCGGATTTTATAAAAAAGCATACATTCAAGCAGAAAAGCATATACTATTTATACAGTGCTCCAAACATTGAGCTGTTTTCATATAATGCAGAATATAAAATCTTTGCACATAATAACATGTACTTTCATCTGTTCCCTACATCCTTCAAGCTTCAACAAGTGCCGCTAATTGCATCTAATGACAGCTCTTCTGTCGTAAGCACTTGCCCTCAGTGCAGTGCCATTCTCTGCCCTCTGTGCTGTCATTTGCCACCATTAGCGAGCAGTCAGTTAGGAATGGGAAGTACAGATTATTTTCACTCTCTCATGTCTTAATTCCCGCCATTTGACACAAATGTCAAAAGAGCTAAAGAAGTCAACTCACAATCACACAGAGTATATGTACACTCAAGCTCTCTAAGCGCCATTCCTGGAAACATTTGCATTTTGAAATGCTCCTTCCTAGTGACAACATGATGTGCCATTCCTTCTGCATGCGGCGTCTGCTCCAAAGCATGCCGGAGAAAGGGACAGTAGCTTTATATGAAATAACTGAAAGCTTTTCCTGGGTCAGTCCACAGAATTGCGGACAGGAAGAGCCAGAATAACTAGGGCAGACAATTACAGGGTTGGCAAAGGCTGTCAAGCCCCCATTTTGGAAATGGTTTAAACGCTTGTTTTTGTTACCCCGTGAATTCATTGTAAATCCACTTCCAGCAATTTAACGGCGCAATTTAAATTCTGAAATAGCTTCTCTCTTACTAATGACCTCATTTTTAACAGTGCTGCTATCATCCTTTGGAGAGTATAACAACACCTTTTCAAAAGCTTAAAATATAGGCTTTAGACGGCTGTTTGAAAAGGAAATACATTGCAAAGCATATTTATTTAGTATTTGTTCTGGCATTGTTATTATATATATATATATATATATATACAGTGGGTACGGAAAGTATTCAGACCCCCTTAAATTTTTCTCTCTTTGTTATATTGCAGC